AAAACGAAGACATTTAACAATTGAGAAAAAGTTCTGAAGTGGCGTCCATCAATTTTGACATAAGCCTCACTTTGTTTTTTTTTTCATCGGGTCGATGGTGCATGCGGCAATGCTCAACGTCTAATTAATTCCAAATTTTGAAAAGTTCTTTTCAAAGTCAACCCTGCGTTGCGCAGTTCGCAACGGCACGTTGAGAGATCCTCAACGCACGCTGTATGGGCGGAGACACAGACGGCTCGAGCATGCGAGTGTGAATGTTCGCGCGAGAGAACGTGTCTAATCGGGCGAAACTGCGCAACGTGGCCGTTGAAAACTGCGCAACGCAGGGTTGACTCTGGCACCAGGTAGACGACATCAATAGACATGCGTGACGTTTTTTACTTTTTAAAGACGTGCCATTACATCGGCTGCTGTTATCCGGCAAAATCAATAGTTCGCGAAGCAACAGCCGTGAAAAATCTACATTTCTTGAGCTGTTTGATGCTGGACTACCTGATGTCACCTCTGTGTTGCTAAGTCTGCATTATAATTCACATGGATACGGGGGACATAATGTACTTATGTGATCAGTTTTCAGTCGAAAATAAGCACATGCGAGACCATGGATCCAAGCAGTGAATGTAATATGTAGAACATTCGACCCATTTTGAACCGAAAGTAAAACCCTTAACTCCTGAAGTATCTCTACAAGAAGAACGCTAAGGCCGATGTCACAGTTTGCGAATCGCTGGATCCGAGCGTTGCGCCAGCGAATCGAACGATGCACCAGCGAGTCGAACTATGTACCAGCGACTCAATAGTGGCGGGACCCAACGTTCAAAGGAAGCCCGCCACTTTCAAACAGTGTCCACTGTCACGTGACACTGTTTGAAAGTGGCGGGCTTCCTTTGAACGTTGGGTCCCGCCACTATTGAGTCGCTGGTACATAGTTCGACTCGCTGGTGCATCGTTCGATTCGCTGGTGCAACGTTCGATTCGCTGGCGCAACGCTCGGATCCAGCGATTCGCTAGCGAATCGCTCGATTCGCAAACTATGACATCGGCCTAAGTATGCCCTGATATAAGCTCCGAAATCATAATAGAGGAGTACAAACGGGAACCAGAGCGCAGGAAAGCTATGTATTGAAGGCTAGATGCTCCCTACAAGGGAGGTCGTTCAGGGTGTGCCAAGCTTTTTCAAAATGGTTTCTTGCATGACATTGGGGCACATATGGGGACCACAGAAGCATGGTTCATTTTTCCTGAACGGCCCTCTGAATACCAGAAAAGGGGTCCCTAAGCATTCAGAAGGGGCGTCGTTCAGGGTGTGCCAAGCTTTTTCAAAACGGTCTTTTGCATGATATAGGGGCACATGCGGGAACCACAGAACCATGGTTAATTTTTCCTGAACGGGCCTCTGAATACCAGAAAAGGGGGTCCCTAGTCACACCTTTTTCACCAGTTTTTCAATCAAAGTCTATTTGTAGGGGTTACTGACGGTCCTGATCATGAATATGGTAC